TATTTGCCATTTAAGATAGCAAATGAACCAGGAGCAGCCAGGGAAGGAAAAGGGGGGCTCCCACCTCCTGCCATGGCATGTGGGAGCCCTACTCCCAGTTCAGGGCCTCTCCACCTGCACGGCGGCAGAGGGGTGGGATGGGGTGGGATGCTTGATGCCTCCTGCAAGGGCAGGCCCCAGCTCCTGTGAGGGAAGGAAAGAAGAGACCTGGTCCTTTGTGGGACCACCATCACAAGGTCTCTGGCTCCCCTCCAGTTCAGATGGGATTGAATATTTAAGGTTGCTCAGCTTTGCAGTAAGGGAGCTGGTTAGGAAACCTCTGAGAGAGTCACCATCTGCATTTAAACTCAATAAGACAGGCACAGAGGCTGACAGGGGTATGTGGCAAAGAGGGGCTGTAGGTTTGGATTTTGGAAAATTACTTTTAAACTGAGTCATTCCCCTGTGATGATGCTTTAAAGTCACACTGTGTATTAACATAGGGGCGTAAGCCAGAAAAACATGCAGCATACTGTCCTCTGTAGGCACCTATCAGTGCCAGGAGCAGGATGGAGGCAGCAGAATCTGCAGCCTCTCAAGAATGTCTTCTGCTCTTTTAATAGTTCTCCTTGGGGGGGTGTGGAGGTTTGTATCACGTATCTTTCTCCTGTTGCTGAATCAAAAATAGTACACTGACTCATTTGGTACAAGCAGTCAGACAGTCACCAGCCACGCTGAGCACACGTCCCACTGCCCGCTCTGGTCCAGCTCACCCAAGGCCTCCTTCACACAAGGGTCTTCTCACCTCACACAGCAGCTTTGCTTGAATAAGTTCTGCTCTTGAATAAGTCCTCTTTCTGCTGCAGCACGTGCTTTCAGGAGGTTGGCAGATTACATCATTTGATCCAAAAATCCACTTGAAATAGGTGGGAATTTTTCTACTGCCTTACAGGAACCTTGGGTCAGGGCTGCTGGGTTTGAGATGTCCACCTTGGAATGGGACCGCTGGCCCTGGATGAGTGCAGGACCGCATGAGAACATGCACTTCAAAGAGCATTGACCCTGCCCATTTTTAGTGGTGACACCAGTATGGTTTTGAGCATGGGGAGAGATAACTGTGTACCTAGGGAGCCTAAAATGCAGTGATTCTGAACTTTCTTCTCCCTCAACCATAACCTGAAGAGCTAAACCACCTTCCCTTCCACAGGGACCTGCAAAATGACCAACTGGGAATAATCTATAGTAGTTTATTAATATCTAGTTCCTAGGAAATGTCCATGCTTTGTACAAAGGATCACTGTGGAAGTTGCAAGCTTGGCAATTTCATAGAGATTTTTGGGTTTCCAATATCTGTTTTATTTTTGTATTTTATTTTCCAAAGCACTCTTGTGCTTTATCCCAAATCAAAACAATATGTGCTAGCAGACATACAATAATTACCTTTAGGGTTGACCAATATACAAAGGAGTGGAAGAGGAAGGAAAACATGAGGAAACAAATTCAGCTTTCAAAGAACTATTAAAAATTAATTAGACTGATATTATTAACTATTAATAAATAACTAACCACAAAAATCAGCTGCCACAAAGCCCTCCTAACACTGCTTCCAACAGGGCTCTGTTGTGACTTGTACCTTGCTCAACACGCAGCAATATTTACCCACTGGATTGAGCAATGCTGATCATGCCCAGCCTGCAGTCTCGCCTTACAGGGCAGGCTGAATTTTGACATTGACCCCATTGCTCATCTATGCTAGCACGTAAACCTTGCCCTTGTTAAAGACTTTTATACCAGCCTCTCATATCTGCTTTTTAGGTCTCTGATCTCTCATCTCAGCATCATCACATCTTTGCTGGTGTGCAGGGCTTCAAAGGAAAACAGTTTATTATTTCTTGACATTGTCTTCCCACTGTATCATTTGCAGATTTTAAATGTATTTATTTTGTATCCCTGACCCTCCTTTGACTTAATATGCAGCCTCTTGAGTTCACCCTGGTTTGTATCTATTTCATAGGGACATCATCCTACTGTAGTGCACTGCTATAATACTATACTTATTATGTGCCTTAAGGGATAAAGAGACGAAGTCAGACCTTGCTGTACTCTAATTTTGTATACGTATGTCGCTCGATTGCATTAGGAATCACAATATGAAACTGATACGCCCAACAGCTATGTATGACCAGCAGTCACTACAAGTATTTTAGAACTATTGCATATAACAGAAGTGTTCTCCAGTCTCTTTTTCTGATTACTAAGCTCTGTGATCCTTGTGTCCATCCAAGAAGCTTAACAAGCTCCACTTTGAATGCACTAAACAGTGTAAACTGAGTATAAACCAGTAACGGTCTCCAGACTCTGAAGCACGTGAAAGGCAATTCCTACAAGACACAGGTGGTTCCATGGCACCCTAAACTCAGCAGTGGGTCACTATAACACCTACAACTTCCCACTTCTTGCATCCACGTCCTCCCCCCTCAGGGCAAGCCCCCAGCGTGTAGCCTCCAGCTCCCCTCACGCTGGTTTCTGTGCGGAGGACGTGTGAGGGGTAGGGGCGGTGGGAGCCGCAGCGCGCTCCCCACAGCTGGATCCCAACCGCCGTGCCGCCCACCCCAGAGCAGGCACAGGCTGAGAGAGAAAGTTCAAAAGCCCACTCACTTTGGGCTGCAACTATGGAAAACGCAGCGTTTGCTCATTGCTAAGAATGAGAACTTTACGTCAACTGATAGCACTGACGCCTCCTTCAGAACCTTCCTACAGAGAATGGGGGTGGTCAGCAGAAGTACAACTTCAAGAACAATTTCAGATACTTGTGTTCCCAAATACTTTGTAAATGACAAAACGAAGGGATCCTCAAAAAGAATTAGTATCCCTAGTATAAAATAAATAAACTTATTCTTCTGTGCTCTGCCCCTGAAATGCTTCTCAGTATTTTAAATGGTGAAACAACAGAAGGATTTAAAATTGCAAGAATCCTGAGATTCAGAATCACCAGCACTTTGACTGAAATAATTCACTATGGTGGTTTTAATAGTACAAATCCTGCCTTCCTCATAATATTATGATGCTTATTTATTTCAAGACTTCAGAAAATTAAACAGCTTCCTGTAAAAGAAACGACATAAAAGGTGGTTTTGAAAGCAGCCCAGCGAACACAAGCTGTTTCCTCTCGTCTTTCCCCTCCCACCTCACAGTGAACAAAGAGAATTTTCTACCTCTCTGTAGCACAGATTTCCCTGAGGGAAAAGGAGGCTTGCATCAGTGCCTGAAAATAGTGGCATAGTACTGCTGCTGAAACTGCTTCACATTTAGGTCAAATCTTGAAAAGAGCTTTAAAATGCTACCAGAGCTGAAGAGATTTTAATGTGAGAACCTGAAGGTGTATCCTACACGTTGAAATAAGGCACTACGGAGACTGCGTAGAAGCCAACTATTTCAAGTCACTGGAAAGCTAACTCTAATATTTTGTCTATAACTCTTGTAAGAGTAGAGCAGTTTTATTGTAATGTGATAAAGAACAATGAACTTTCAAAGGAACAAAGGTGTCTAAGAAATGCAAATAGCTCTACTATAAGTGTCCCTCTGATGGGTGATGGGAGGTGGAACAGCGGCAGTAAAAGGGAAAGCTGGAAAATAATGTGACAATTAGACTCAGTTTTACAGAAGAAATTTAATCATTAAAGGCATTTAATCATTCCCTATTTTAAAAAATAGGATTTTTTATGATTACAAATGTAAAATACGCCTTTCCAAATTTTCTTTGCTGACTACTTGTTAATGCTAGTTTGACTGTCTTTTCATTGTGAAATACATATCACATTTTCAGAGCTGTTCACAGAATAGTATTGGTGTTTTGGGAATTTGTAAACTGAACACACATTTATTCCCTTAACTGGCATTCTGATAATGCTGATACAGGCGTTCATAAAACTGAAATACATTAATATTGAAAATATAACTACTATTTTATAATTTTAAAACAACCTTTGATTTTACACAAACATTATTTCTTTAATATAGATGCCTGAAAATATTCCATAGCCAATACAGAAGTTTTGTCACACTTTTGAATGAGGTTGTCATATAGTTACACTGACAAGGCATCAAAAATTTGCTGTATTATTTCCAGCACAAACCATTTCAGGTGTCTGTCATAAACTACATAGCACACAAGAACTTGATACTGGAAGCTCTTTGAATAATGAAGTTAAAAGTAACTTGGTGCCCCTCTGCACAGCTTGTCTAACCAGGTGTTGGATCAGTTCTATAATGCTTATTTAGGTTTTATTTGGACAACATTATCTTTTTTCACCTGGGTGGCAGTTTGCCCTGTTAATAGCATGCTGTAGTTAATGCTGCTGAAATCTCTTAAGAACCCTGCATAGAAATAAAATTGCTGCTGTTACTTATATCCCCAGATAGAGGATTTGCAGGCTTGTGCTAAGGGGGAATTGCTCCTAGTGTCACTGTGGGACTGAGGGGGTGAATATGGCTCCTTCATGCTCGCCAGTAAATCACAGATCTTGAATCCAGCTAAAAGCCAAGGCAGGCACCGGCTGTGTAGGGAGGTCAGGCTGTAAATGGAAAGGGAATCGCTTCCTCAGGAGTATGTTTTGTGACACAGCATCCCAGAAGTGACCACACTGTCATATACATCCCTCCCTTCCCTAAGCACAAAAACCTGGGCTGCTTCTGCAAAAGGGAAAGGAGTGAAAGGTTCTGCCTACTGCATGCAGATACAATTTCAACATTTAGCATTGCCCCTTCATTTAAAATATCTAATTCTATTTATATTCCCTGATTATCTGACAGAATTCACTCTGACCTAAAGGAGAGATTAATTTTTTTACTGGGTATCGTATTGCCATGTGGCTCTGTGTGTGTGGGGGGGGATGTTGCTCCTCTTCATTTAGAAATCAGAATACAGAATTTTTCCTATTTATAATTAATTTCAGTTGTATACTATCTGCTACTCTTTCTAAAGGCACTGCTTACTATCAGAAATGTACAGTCCAAAGAGGTATTCCTGAATGTTTTATTTTGGAAGTGTAAAGGGCTTTAAAATAAGCAAAAGTAAATAATCAAATACATTTCATATTGCATGTGGTAGGAGTGGCTCCATGTAATAGAATATGGATGAAGCAAACCCAGCAATTAATTTCTCTGAGACACAGAGTATAATACATAGACACTTCCAGATCTGGTCTTGTGTCATACATAACATTGCCTGAGCCTTTTGTTATAATTTAAATCCATCCTACTTTATTAATATTTTATTTTGCTATATTGATTGTTCAAGTTAGAAAAACACATTTAAAAACTACTGACTTGAGGACACTGCAAGACCCTACATACTGCAATCTCTGAGGATAAATATACATTTATGTTTTGAGAAAATATGTCATTACCTTGCAGATGAATCAATGCAAAATGATCGTGCAATTAAATAGGACAGTCTGAATTGAAATTTAAAGCGGCAGACCATGATTTTCCTACTCCCAGTGCTGCTTGAAATCTCTCACACCTTTAAAAAAATATAATTAGCTTTAGATTTATCCCACAATAAATAACACCAGAACATACCTTGTGCTACCAACCTGAATTTAAAAAAAAGTTAGAGGCCACCTCAGTGTTTTGAGTTTATGAGATCTTTCAGACACAAAGCCCTAACAGAGTTTCCCAGTCAAAAGGCATCAGGAAGGCTCATCGCTTATTGTAAACTTGGGCTTTAGCTTGACAGACCTCTTCTTTATTGTGCCTCTAGGGGACAATGGCATGGTGTCCATAATGCTCCTGTCCTCCTCCAGCTGCCTAGCAGTGCACGAAGGGGTGGGCACTTTCACTGTATTGCCAAATTTAGAGTAGTCCACAGAGTATTGCCCATCTTCCTCTGCCACAATGGGCACAAACCTTTGGCCCCAGAGGATTTCATCCGCCAGGTAGGAGGTCCTGGCTTGAGTGGTGATGCCGGTGGTCTCCACCACCCCTTCTAGGATGACGATGATCTCCAGATCCTCGTGGTGGTGAAGGTTCAGGGGGGAGATGTCGTAGAGGGGGCTGTTCTTGTCTATCACGTGGTAGATAATGAGTGGGGAGACGAGAAAGATGCTGTTGCCCCCCACGGGGTTCTCCATCTGGATGTCGATCTGGTTGAGGGGCACCACCTCCCCCTCCAGGCTGGCGGTCTTCTTCACCACCTGCATGCGGATGGTGGCACTGATGATCATGCTCTTCCGGAGGTCACCCACCCGCAGCATGAAGCAGAGCTTGCCCTCCCGCAGGGCGATGACCGCATGCTTGCTGAAGATGAGGGTCTCGGCCCGGCGGTGGGCCTGCGAGGTCTTCATGAAGATGCAGCCCAGCATGATGGCGTTGATCACCAGCCCCACAATGTTCTGCACAATCAGCACCAGGATGGCGGCAGGGCACTCCTCCGTCACCATGCGTCCCCCAAAGCCGATGGTCACCTGCACCTCGATGGAGAAAAGGAAGGCGGAGGTGAAGGAGTGGATGCTGGTCACGCAGGGCACGAAGCCAGCCGGGGCCCCCGCCGCCCCCTCCCCGGGGTCACGCTGCAGCCGGGTGCTGTGGTCCAGGTCCCCATGGGCGAAGGCGATGAGCCACCAGACCATGCCAAAGAGCAGCCAGCTGCAGAGGAAGGACATGGTGAAGATGAGCAGTGTGTGGGGCCACTTGAGGTCCACCAGCGTGGTGAAGACATCCTGGAGGAAGCGCCCCTGCTCCCGGATGTTTTTATGGGCCACGTTGCAGGCACCGTTCTTGCCCACAAAACGCGCCCGCCGCTCCCGGGCGCGGTACCGGGCATGATCCGGCACATCCTCCGCTAGCCGGGTCAGCACGTACTCCTCGGGGATGATCCCCTTCCTCGACAGCATGGCTTCCCGCCGCCGCCGCTCCGCCGCTCAGCGCCGCCCCGTGCAGCCGCCGCTCGGCCGGGGGCGGGGAGCGGGGGGCCGAGCGGCTGCACGCCGCCGCAGCCCCCGCCGGAGCCGGCCCCGGCGGCGCGGAGGCGGCGGCGGCCGCGGTGGCCGCCAGGCGGCACCGCCGAGGCCGGGAGCCGCCGAGCGCGGCCCCACCACGCCGAGAAGCGGGCTGCGCGGCTGCCCGGGCTCGGCGCTGCCGCCGGCCCCGGCCCCTGGGCGAGCCCGGAGCGGCGGGACGAGGGGCTGAGGCGTCCCCGCGCGCGCCGCCGCCCAACGGTCGCTGCGCGGCGGGCGCAGGGGAGGGCGGCTAAAGCCGTTGGGCGCCGCTCCTCAGCGTCGCCCTGGGGGAAGGGAAGGGGGGGCCGAGTCCCGCATTGCTCTCCGGGCAGCGCTGGGTGCGTTTCTTTACGTTTTTACCTCAGGTTTTTGTTGTGTGTGGTTTGGGTTTTTTTTTTCCCTTTTACCTGAGGAAGGGGGAGGTCGGGATTCGGGCCGCGGTGGTGTAAGGGATCCTCTTTCCTCAGAGCTGATTTCTGTGAATAGTTGCTCGAGGATGGATTTGCCGCCAGTACCTGGCTTTCATTAACAGCCTCTGCTTTGCAGGATGGTGTGGTTCCAGGCTGGCCAGTTATTCCGTGAAATAGAAACCAAAATGGTGCTGGGCTTGTTTTTGTTTGTTTGTTTGTTTGTTTGTTTGTTTGTTTTTTAAAAAGGAAATATTTTTAAAAAAATATAAAATCCTGGCGTTCACCTGCGCATCTTACTGTAAGTAGGAGGAAAGCATTCAACTAATGTATCAGGCAGGCAGTGGTAGGAAATTTGCTTGAAGAGGCCTAGTCCAAGGACATAATGGTTAAACAGAGACCTGGAACTAAAGGGGCTCATTCCCACTTACAAAATTTGCTAGAGTTATTTAGCCTTGACAAATGAAGATTTTTTTCTTAAAGAAGGACCTCATGAAATGACACGAGCTGTAATGGCATCTGACTGCACAGGTAAATGTCTACTATCCAAACAGCAGTAAAAGTTGCAAAAGAATGATCTGGCAGCAAATGGTTAACCCACAGTGACACGAACTCCCAGACAGACATCAAAATTGCCAGAAGAAGCAACAAAAGGAGACAATAAGCTAGACTTGTGCGTGTTACTGTGATGTTTGCCTGTGTATAAATACATGTGCATGCCCATAAGGGTGTATCTTAGTGACAAGATGCATTATTTAAAAACACTCTCATGTGAGTGCTCCACTGTTTAAATAGCAATATTCTTATTCGTGTGTTTTCTTACTCTGATTTAAATATTTTGTTTCTATTGCAGTTTAGACACCAAAGCTGTAGAGTTGCTAAAGCAGCCTAGGATATTTGGCTAAGAGGGTTTTCTTTAGCGCCAGTGGATTTATGATTGTATTTTTCTAATTGTATGTGTCCATGGACTTGCCCTTTGGTTTTGGCTCCCAAGTGCTTTGGTACACGCTGTAAGCAGCCATTGGCACTGATTGCCTGGGCAAGGCGGTTGCCCGGCTGCTGGTTAGGAGCCAGCTAGCTGGGCTTGAAATTAACTTTCACCACCTACAGTTACTTACTGTGGCCCACCTAAGGATTTCAGAATAGTATGGTATTTTTAAGTAATCACTCTCAGATCTCTGAGGGGTCATTACAGGCCTTGTAATTAAATGATTACTGCTACTTTAGACCACTTCTACTTTCTGTGTATGAATAGTTGCATGTGCTTGGACATACCCATTCTTTTTGGAGGGGTCCGTTCCCCAATACTCCACGCTTTCTCTCATTCTGGGTCATCTTTTTTGTTGCTTCGATAAATAAAACTAAAATGACAACAAGGTGCCCTGGCACCTGGCTGCCAAACTTAGCCAATATACTGCCCTTTCTCTGTGTCACTTTGTCTGCTAGACATTATTCGTGTGCTTGCTGTGAATATGTCACCTGCGTTTACACTTTTACTTGGTAAAGTACATGGCTTTTATATACAATTTAACTTGGAAAAAATGTATTTTTTATACTTTTCTTTCTAAACAATTTAAAAAAACATCCAAATGGATGAAGCAATTTGAAGATTTACTTGTCAAAGGTGTGGTTCTCATGGGAGCTTATAGTTGATGGGAGCTCATAGCTACTTCGAGGATTTTGAAGGGAGCATAAAGAGGCTCTACACCACCCTACAGTTCACTGGTAACATTTCACACTCTTTTGCAGAGATGGATGTAGGTATTCAAGAGGCAGTCATGCCTTTCGTGCCATTTTTTCGTACTCTTTTCTAATTACTGTCTTATTCTCTACCTTGTCCTCCAGAGGGCGGTAACTACATGAATGGAGAATGAAAAAAAATTATAAAAATGTGCCGGGAAGGAGTGTTTTAAGGGAAAGGTAACTTTCGTCACAGTGTGGTGCTGAAAGGACCCATGGAGCCTACTACAGCCAGGGGTGTTAAATGAATACACTCACCGTGTTGGTTTTAGGAATCCTGAACTCTGGAGAGCTAGAAGGGTGCTTCCTTGTTTCCACTTCTGTTCTTTATTGGGACTGTCATTTGCCACTTCTTGTCCTTCACCTCTGAGCACTTGTTGGATGAGATAGGACACCAAAGCAAGTGGCTTCTGAAGAATTTCTAGAGCAGAATAGAAAGAAGCCCTGTCTTTGTGGATCAACTGACAGATACTTAAAAGAAAAAAGTGACAGATCTTCTGAGTGAGCCAACATATTTGTGTCAAGAGCTGCTGAACAAATTGGGCTCACAGGAACGAACAATCCCACTCTGCAGTATTGAATCATAAGGGGTAAGTTTTTCCACCCACAAAATTGGTTTTACATTTCAAAACTTCTCCCCCCATCCCCCCTGGTTTATCCTAATTTTAATGACTCTCGAAGATATTACTATAACTGTTAAATTAAAATTTTGTTGGCACCATGGTATTACTCTGCCTGTAGAAGCAGACCTTTCTTTCAAAGGCTACACAGTGTTAGCCTAATGTGAATTAAAGCCTCACAAATCACCTTGCTGTACGAGTGGGTAGGCAGAAGACAAGAGATGGGAGCAGGTTATGCAGAGCCGCATGAGCAGAGCTGGGCAGAGGGCGAAGGGAGCAGGCGTGCTGTGCTTCCTCGCCTGCCAAAGACACAGTGTTCCGTTAGAAGTAAGTAGAACAGGATGAAATGACCACACTAAGACAAGGGGATAAATGCTATAAAAGTTTTTGTATAATGAGAGCATTTAGGGAAAGCAAACAAAATAAATCAAACCCTGGTTGCATCTCCATGGGCAGACTATCCGACTAACACCTCCAGGAGTGAGCCGAGGCCCATCCCAGAGGAGAAATGAAAGTCTGGACATTGCAGCTCCCCTCAGCAGCTTCCCCTGGCTGCTCTGCAGCTGTCTTGCACCCCTTTCAGTACAGCGCTTTGCTAAGCAATGCTTCGCTGCCATGCAAAATACAATTGTGAGCCTCGTTCAGTTGGCAATTTCTGGAACGCCTATCTCAAGGCAACAGGTTTAATGACTCAGACAATGGCAGTGAGTCTCCCATCATAGAATAATTTTCTTGGAGAGTGCTTCTGGTCACTGTGGAGAATCTAACCCTTTGGAGTTAGGGCGCAGAGGCCCGCTGGGACTTGGCCCCATGTAACTAGGAACAGATAAAAGGCGCTGAGGAACTGTGAAGTGTATGCTGTCCATGTGGTAGCTGAGAGGCCTCGCTGATCACAGGTATTTATCCAGCAGTGTGGTACCATTAAAAAGATACATAATCACTGGATGCAAACCAGCTCGCCCTATTTTCCTGCAGGGCTGCTGTGTGAAATGTAAGACTCATTTACAACAGAAATATACAACACTTTGAGCTCTTATTTCTTTATGCATATATAGCTATATAGAGATTTCTTAAGATATAATATAGTCTTGTCAGTGATATGCTCTGTCCTTCACTCGCTTGCATTCCTTCCCAGGTAAGGTTGTCAGAAGCTCGTGGAATAGGAGCTAATCCAAACTGCAGTGTCAAATCCCAGGCACTTTATGAAGAGCATACGAAACCTCACTTCTCGGTATCTCTCCTCTTGCCATTAGGATTTAGGCTTGTCCACAGATGGTTACAAAGCTTCTGAGGATCTCTCTCTGCAGCATGTGTTTGTGATGTCCTGCAGAGCGCTGCTTTCCTGAGCCTTCGCAGGATGAGATCCTGCCTCCGGCCGGTGCTGGGCAGCCAGGAGACGGCTGGGGCAGTAGCTAGAGGAGACGCCTGCTCTGCGCGCGCTGCGCCCCTCCACTCCCCTGGAAGCACAGGCCCCGGCTCCCCATTCTTCTTGCTTGGCCCTAATGGCTGCCAGGGATCCCAGGGTGAAAACACACCAATAGTGCTGCAGCTATTTTTACTCTGAAGCTGCCCAGCTAAATGAATCCCTGGAAGAGGAGATGCCTCCCAACCGTCCCTTTTCTCTCTTCATCTGTAGTAGGCAATGACAGAGCTCATGCATTTCATCTGCATACCTGCCTCCTACCTCCCCACTTCTACTGGTGTTCATACTATGCTCTCCTGGTGATTTTATGTTCTCTGGCCCTGGGTTAATGCCCATGGGTACTGCACAAATAACCGCAGGCAGATGCTGCAAATGCTCTGCTGTGGAACTGGCAACAATAAACAGCAGCAACAGTTCTTAGCAAGTTTTCCTTGCTGTCTGCTGCAGTGCTAGAAGTAATGCATTAAAAATAGCACACATCTCATGAGAACACCGAGATGTCTTTTTCTAGAAAGCAAAGCCTTTAGAAAACAGATCCCAAATTAATTGAGCAGGCTAAAGAGATGTTAAAAAGAGAACAAAGTTTTCCTAAGTACTAGGAATTCTTCAAAAAAGGGGAAGAGGACAAAAACAGACATAAAGCCAAAGTTGCTATAAAAAGAATAATGGTGAAAAGTTCATTGTTGTCTCTTCCCTTTGGTCATTGACATTCCAATCCCTTAGCAAATAAAT